TTGCCTCTGAGAGCATCTCTGTAGTCCAGCTAACAATATACCAGATTAAAGTGCTTTCACTGAGTGCACTACAAGAAAGACTTCATAAGTTGCCAATTAAGAAATTTACCATACCTCATCGGAGGAGGATGTCATGTTATCGTCGCTGTTTTCAGAGTCACAGGCACCTGCCATACATTGCTCTGAGGAATGTGAATCCACAGTAAACAAATCATCATGTCGCCTCTAAATAAAAATACATCGAATAATTACATCTTTAGCCTGTCAAACGTTGCGTGCAAAGTTCCTGCCAAACTGTTTATTTCTGTCAAAGTTGAGCTCTACCTGTCTTATGTCGTCCTAAGATATTTAAGAAAAGAACATCCTGGGAGTCTCCCAACTTGTTCTTTTGTTGCCCAGTACTATTCTTATAACATTCTCGTACAAATTTCTTGCATATTTCCTCTCTTTCGAAAAACCAGTTTTGGCAATTGCCATTTTTGCAATTGAATGCTACGAACATTTAAAGTCCCTCCCAAACATCTTCTCGATGATTTCTTTCCCAACTACCCAATAGCTTTAACCTACCTACCTACCTACCTACCTACCTACCTACCTACCTACCTACCTACCTACCTACCTACCTACCTACCTACCTACCTACCTACCTACCTACCTACCTACCTACCTACCTACCTACCTACCTACCTACCTGTGGCGTTGTTTATAGGAAGAACAAGACACACACAGGTGAAGTAACACAGGTCTATTTAATCGATGTCCGACGAACTCTACAAAACCGGAAAGCATGGTCTCTAAAGTTTTGTTGCCATGGTAGTTATGACGTAAATGCGGACCGGAAGTAAATAGAACGATAACATCGATATCGTTACCTACCTACCTACCTACCTACCTACCTACCTACCTACCTACCTACCTACTACATACCTACTACATACCTACTACATACCTACACACTTTCCTGTTAGCCTGCCTGCCTACTTACCTACTTGCCTGCCCTCAACTTTGGGCTTTGGTTGTCCGGGTGATGTTCCATCTAGAAGTCGAGGAAGTCCGAATTTTCGGAACTTCGACATCGTGTTTGTGGCTTCAACGCTCTCACATTTTGATATGACCGCAATTCAACCAAAGAAGAGCGAAATAATCAGGCTGGCGGTAAGTCAGGCTTTTGCCAAAATGCAAAACGCAAAAAGGCGAGAACTGTCAATCATTTATGGTTGGTGAAAAGCAGCTAGATTTCATGAGCTTTATGTCTGTAGAGTGCAATTAGCGGGCAAAAAGTTCCATTGTACGTGTTGGCACTAAAGTTAACCTCAATAGCTTGCAGAGAAAAGGTATTTGTCTGTTTAGATATTTTAAAAATTGTTTCATTTGTGTTTTTTTATTCTCCAGAAATGTTTGGCTTGTGTCAGTTAATTGCTCTGAAAGTTTGTACTTCCGGTAAAATGTAAATTACCTTTTTTCGGGTTCCGGATTTAAAAGTGAGAAATTTACAAGTCAAGTGAGAGCAACAAGAGTTCCAACTTAAAAGAGTTTTTCAAATGAAGACATTCAATTATGACCCAAATAAGACCAAATAACGCTCCCGGTCTTCCTTAGTGCTTTAAATTATTTGTTTACTCGCAAACAGTTTTAGCAACGGTTTTTACTTTTTAGATCCACACGGTTTTTAAACGGAAAACAAAAGCCCCAGTTATTTCGCGTCAATTGGCATCTGACAAAGCGTTTTTGTCCAAAAGTTGGTGATCCATCACAACCGAAGCTGCTTTCTGACACAATCGCACCTATTTTTTGACTGATACACTGAAACGTTTGAACTGTTTTAGCTGCCCCCACAAAAAAAAAAACAACAACAATATGTGCTTTCTATCACCTATCCTAAGACTAAATCATTTTGCTACAGTATTAGGTCACAGCCAAGTCTTCAAAATTGTCGCGTCAGTCTTCACGCTATGCTACTGAACGGCATAAATTATCAACCATGACATTAGTTCAAATATTTATTTCACTCCCTTTGTCTTTTTCCTCCCTGGGTTTACAGAGACTTTTTTGTCGCGCGCGGTTGAAATCGGCAATGTATAATAGATTCTTCCTTCCCAGGGGTCTGACAAAGCGTTTTAGCAAGGGTCTTTGTTTTATAGATTTAGGGGGGGTTTTCTACAAAACGAAGACCCCCTTGATTTCACGTCTATTGGCGTCTGACAAAGCATTTAAGTGAGGGTCTTCGTTTTGTAGATTTAGGGGGGCTTTTCTACAAAACGAAGACCCCCTTGAGTTCACGTCAATTGGCGTCTGACAAAGTGTTTTTGTCACAAAGTTGGCGATCCATCACAACTGAAACTGCTTTCTGACACAATCAGGCCTATTTTTTGACTGATACACTGAAACGTTTGAACTGTTTTAGCCGCCCCCACAAAAAAAAAACATGTGCTTTCTATCACCTATCCTGTGACTAAATCATTTTGCTATTAGGTCACAGCCAAGTCTTTAAAATTGTCACATCATCACGCTATGCTACTGAACGGCATAAATTATCAACCATGACGTTAGTTCAAATATTTATTTCACTCCCTCTGCCTTTTTGAGAATAAGTAAAATTGCCAGGCTAATAGCCAATGTTGCTGCTGCCACTAAAAATTGTGAATGCTACTATCTCTAGTAACTTTCCTAGTATTAAGCAGATTACTGAATATTTCCTACATGCTGTAAAATTACTACATAATGGGAAGCTTAAGATCAACTAGAAATTGTGAAATACCTCGTGTTACAAAAATACTTTAATGCTGTACAAGTCCTGCACCCCCTAAGCTGGCCTCCTTTGCGATTTAAAACCGCATCAGTCTAGACAACTGATGCACCCCTTTTTGTCGCGCGAGGTTGAAATCGGCAACATATAATAGATTCTTCCTTCCCAGGGGTCTGGCAAAGCGTTTTAGCAAGGGTCTTCGTTTTGTAGATTTAGGGGGGCTTTTCTACAAAACGAAGACCCCTGTCAATTTCACATCGGTTTGTGCAGAGGAACGCTTTGGGTTAGTTTTTGAACTGTCCGTGCCTTATTCGGGCAAAAAAATTAGCGTCTTTGTTTTTTGGTCTTCGGTCTTCGGGCTGCGGTCTTCAGTCTTCGGTCTTCGGTCTTCATTTTGTAGACACCCGCTCCACAGGACAACACTGGGACTGTTCTGCTCCCAGTAAACTCCAAGGTTCTGGTGGCCGGCAGCTCAAACTGCATTGGCATTTTGTCCATATTGAGGATACGACTCAAATCGTAGCCCCAGTGCTGGCTAGATCTCAGGACGAATCGATGAAACTCGATGACCTTGTCTTCCATGTCGGCCGGGAGACACTGAGCAAGACTAGTCTTCGCTCTCATGGAGATGGAGTGATGACGCTTCCAGTTGGAGTACCAGCCAAGGGACGCTTTAAACTCGGGATTGGTGCTGAGTTCTTTGGCCTTCACTCGAAGCATCATGCCATTGACTGACAGACCTGTGTAACAAGGAAAACAAATTTCAGTTTAGTTATCGAAACTATGAATGTAAACATCGAAATGATCGCGGTTCTCAACACGTTTACAACAATTCACTAGTGAAAATCCGGGTTAAATAGCAAAACAATGCTTACCTTGAGTTTGTTGATCGCTGAACCAGTCGGCTAACTGCTGATCCAACTCAGGATCCTTCGGTCGGTAGCGTCCCATTGATGCACGCTTTGCTGTCATCTGCAGCTCACCGGAAAACAGGACACGTTGTTGGTTACGCCATTTTCTCACCATGGATTCGGAAATGCCGTATTCACGGGCAATTTCACGATTGTTGTTGACTGCCTCGGCTTCTGCAACGATTTTTAACTTGAAGTTGAGGTCATACGAGTGACGGCGAGTGCTTGGCATATTAACGATTGAACAAGAAGTTGAAGTTGAACTCTGACTGTTTACGATGCGAATGTATCAGTAAGTTTTGCAACTGAGTTTTAAATCAGGTGATTGATGTTTTTATAAGACAAAATCGGATCACTGAATAGTTTATCATTACAGGTGTGAACTTTCAGCATTTGTTTTCACGTATATCATTAAATGTGTGACTTTTTCACTTTTGTTTACGTTAACAAAGAGAGTTCGTATGCCAATTGTGTAAGGATAATTGTTGTCAGATTCATCACATCCTTTTGTTAACTCAACTTTTCGGTGCGTCTTATAACCGAGTATTTTCACGTAATTTTCAGTTTGAGAACTCAACTCAATTAAATTGCTAAGTTTGGGGTGCATCTTATAACCGGGTGCGCCTTATAACCGAATAACTACAGTAAGCTTTTAAAAAGAACTGTCAATTTCTCCTGCGAATAACCATAAAATGAACAAACCCTTATTCCGTATAGCCCAGAACTGGCTTTACATAGATCAAAATGAGTGTCCCAGTTACAGGGGTCTTGATTGAAGGTTACACCAAACAATTTAAGTTCAGGCTTCTTTACAATTGAGGGTAACACATCAGGCACCTGTTGTTTGTTTTCCTTCTTAATACCATTTCCCAGGTGTTGTGTCGTCTAGATTCAGTCAAGTTACTCCTTTCATTGCTATTGCTACTCTGAATTTTATTAAAGAATCAACAAGCTATATTCACAATACAATACTAGGAATCAGTAATACCACTTTTACATAGGAATGTACTTTTACAATCATGTACTGATCGTGTCTTACAGGATATAGCGTGACTATAGTAATGCTTAGGTAACGCAATACACTACATCCTTCCCGGACAAAGTTCAAAGGTTTCTATTTCAAAGTTAATTAAAGATAATAATCATTTTAAACTATTTAAATCAGCTAATAATATACGAAGTTCTCGTTATCTCGTGCAGACTTCACTACACGTCCGGACCTAGTTGTGACATTGCCTTTATTCTGAGAGGCTTGATCATCGAAATGATCACTTTCCATACGTGACCGTGACCGTGACCGTGACCGTGACCGTGACCATGAATGGTCTCAGAAGATTCAACATTCACTGAATCACTAGCTCGTCGTCATTTTGGCTGGTCTGATTTGACTCGACATGTGGAACTTTCATACGAATTTCTCGATTGAACAACAACATAGTTGGTGATTTCCCATTAACAAGATGAGGAGTCGCTCGGTAAGACATAAGAATTTTGGGTAATTCCTTTTCCCATGATTTGCCTTCCGATATTGCAGCGTGAAAATTTTTTTTAAGGTACCGATGAAATCGCTCTAATTTTCCATTGCTTCTAGCAAAATACGGCGAAATGCGAGCATGCTTGATACCGTACGTTTTCAGAAAGTTTTCAAATTCTGCGCTTACAAATTGTTTACCATTGTCAGAAACCAACTCTTCTGGAAAACCAAATCTGGCAAAAATATCTGTCAGAACTCGAATGACCTCACAAGAGGTGATTTGTCGCAGTATGTGCGCCTCTGGATATGACGAACAATAATCGATGTATGTCAAAATAAATTTCCCGTTTACTGGACCAACGATATCTACTGCGCCCTTTACCCAAGGACCACAAGGTAACGATGCGGTCAGGAGAGGCGTGTACTTGTTTAACAGTTGATTTAAAACACATGCACAACAATTTTTAATCATTGCCTCTGCTGCGCTGTCCATTCCAGGCCAAATGAATCGTGACCTGAGAAACTGTTTAGTTTTGACAATTCCCTGGTGTGTCTCATGCAAGAGCTTAAGAATTTTCTTTTGCAGTGACGAAGGAACAACAATTCGATTTCCTCTGAGAATAACTCCTTCATAAACAGATAATTCATCCTTAACTGCTTTAAACGGTTTCAGTTTTTCGTCGCACGACCACTTGCCATCTTGAATATGCTCGATTAATTTGGACAAAGTGTCATCTCTGCGTGTTTCGCGGCTCATCTCGGCATGAGTGACAGCTTGCAGTTAACATGTTGGTGTCATAAACAAACCTAACATAATTCTCGCAAACAGTTCCGCTATTGGTGTAGTTTTCACACTTCGAAGGAAGTCGAGACAGTGAATCTGCAGTGTTGTCCTTTCCCAATATGTGTTGTATATGGAAATTGTACTGATGCAATCTCCAGGCCAAACGTTGAATTCGTGGTGGCAGGACTTTGCTGGACTGCAGATCAAACATGCTGGACAGAGGTTTGTTGTCAGTAAGTAGCGTAAAATTGATTCCAAACAAATAATTGTGCAGGCATTCGACTGCCCATACGCATCCGATTTGCGAATATCTTCGTTTGGTAGGCGTAAGTGATCAACTTATGTAGGCGATTGGTTTTCGCTTGCTGTTAGTTTGGTCTTGAAGCAGGATTGCTCCTAAACCTACTGGACTAGCATCAGTGATCAAATATGTAGGAGAGTTTAAGCGAAAGCATGCGAGAACGGGCTCGCAAGACAATGTTTACTTAGGGCTTCGAATGCCTCTTTTTGCTCCTTTCCCCACGAAAATTTTACTTCGCTCCGAGTTAATTTTCGCAAAGATTCCACGATGTTCGCGTAATTCGGTATGAATTTGGAAACAACCGCACATTCCAAGAAATGAGCTAAGATCTGATACATTCTTTGGCAGTGGTCTGGCTTTTATTGCTTCGCACTTTTTCGGATCCGGCTTAATACCATCGGCAGATACTACATGGCCTAACACCGAAATCTTGGTAACGCTGAATTCACACTTGCTTTGATTTAGACTTAAGTTGTTTGCACGACATCTCTTGAAAACTTTACGGAGCCAGTTAATGAGTTCTTCCATTGTCACAGCATGCACGATGACATCGTCGATAGAGATTTGAACTCTGTCGATTCCAAACAAAATTTGTTCCATCATCTTTTGGAAAGCTTCGCTTGAATCACTAAGACCGAAGGGAGTACGCTTAAACCTAAAACAACCACAAGGTGAGATGAAGGTAGTGATATACCATGACTCATCAGCTAGCGTAAGCTGAAAAAAACCACTCTTCGCATCAATTTTTGCAAAATACTTTGAACCGTGCATAGCTTGCAAAGTGTCATCTACCTTAGGTAATAGGTGTCGTTCCCTAATTAACGATCTGGTCCCTTATCATCTCTTCTTCGAGTGTGCCAAACTCGCACAATTTCGCAAGTTCTCTGAGTGCTGTAAGGTAGTTATCTATCAGCTCATCTGACCTCTGTTCCCTGAATCGGAACTTGTACCTTTCAGACACCATGTTTCGTTTTGGCGCAAAGTAGTTTTGAAGAGCTAGTTTTGCATCTTCAAGTTTTTTATGTTCACCAGGCAGGGTTCTGAAGATCCTTTGCATAGCGGGCCCAAGGCAGTGCAGGAAGGTGGCTCGCTGGACTTTGTCGTCCTTGTCAGAGAGCTCGGAAGCCACTGAGTATATATCAAAGGAACTCACCCAGTGCTGCCATTTGCAATACAAGTCGGCTGCGTCAATGTTAAACGGCTGTGGCGTAGAAAGTCCCATCAGTTCCATCTAACTCAAGGAGTACGTTATTGGCTTTTAATCCATGTCGCCAGTATGTTGTGTCGTCTAGATTCAGTCAAGTTACTCCTTTCATTGCTATTGCTCAACTGAATTTTATTAGAGAATCAACAAGTTATATTCACAATACAATACTAGGAATCAGTAATACTACTTTTACATAGGAATGTACTTTTACAATCATGTACCGATCGTGTCTTACAGGATGTAGCGTGACTATAGTAACGCTTAGGTAATGCAATACACTACACCAGGTCTTGCTTAGGTTAAGTTTCATCCTGTTCTTACAGGCTCATTGTTGGATGTTCCCCAGAGTTGAGAACTGTTGACTTGACTGGAATGCTAAGTGTCAAGTCATCTGCATATTTAAGAAGCAGATTACTCCCAGGATGTGACACAGGACCAGGTATATTGGCATCAGGTGCAAGGACAAATGTTTTTGACCAGAAGTGTTTTGTTACTTTGTTTTCTAGATTACAAAAGACTTTGTGGCAATAAATATCAAGAGGGATGAGAGTTGGAAAGACAACGTTGAAGGTGATCTTTCAGTAATACCACATAGCAAAAGGTTTTCACTTGCCAGTTTCGCTTAGATTTATTCAGATGACTAATAAACTAGATGTCTATTTATGAGGACACCTTTATTATTGAGATTACCAAAATTCTGCAAACTGGAATTTTCCAACAGCTTGTTGTGCAATTTTTTTTTTATCAATTAATGATAATCAGTCTGTACCTTTTCTATTTTTGTTTGGCCAAATTTCGACATGCAACTTCTCAGTTCCCACAATTTTGATAATAACACCTTATATGCATTACTCTGTCATACCTTTTAATAAAGTTTTTGGAATGAAACAAAATATGAAAATTTTATAATTGTAATACAAAGTAAGACTTTTTTGTGGCATTTCATAATTAAACATGAACATGTTTACTAGTAATAATTGTTGAAAATGTATAAACAATATATATCTTAATTATTATATATTATTAGATTGTAACATTAATTAAAGTTCAATATATTTAACCTAATCTGTTTTTCAAATCCCTCTGTACTCTCACAGCCTTCTTTGATAGGGGGAAATTGCAAGTTTACGAGGGCAGCACACAATTGAAATAGTTCATCAACATAACATCTAAAATATGACGGTACAAAAGAGAGAATTTTAAATTCCTTAAGTCTGGCACTAGCCCTTTTTACATGAATCCTACATTTTGCAATAGATTTAGTGGCCTTTACCTCACTCTCAGTAAACTTTCCATTATTAAGGGTGCGTTTGATTGACCCTATTCCAGAATAAGAATACATTCCGGATTATTCCAGAATAGCCATTCCATCCTTTCGTCAATAAAACGATTATTCTGTTTCTGGAATAATGCCCGCGACATAACACGCAGACAGCGGTTTTCTGAAGGAAAATACAAATTTCCGTAACATCGTGAACAGCAAAATGGCAGCGACATTGAAGGTCATTGTTGCAGGTTTTGCAACTTTTGTTGAAGAATTTCTCGAGGAGGAATCTGTACAAGAAGAAGAAGATGTCTTAGAAGAGTTTCTGCCCCTGTTTTATGCAAATAACTTGTTGTCAGAGTGGCATAAAGTGGTTCGCATCGAAGGTTATGCGGAAACTGTTGTTCCCAATTATAATTTGTCAGAGTTTCGCAGCCATTTTCGTATTTCGGCGGACACATTTGAACAGCTTGTTGTAGAACTTGGAAACTGTCCAGAGCTTCCTACTGGCACGCAGCACGGAGGTAGAGAGCCGATAAGTGTTGAGAAACACTTGTTGATTACATTGTGGTTTCTTGGAAATCAAGAATCAATAAGATCAATATCAGACAGATTCAATGTAACGAAGAGCTCAGTTTTTACATGTGTCAACAGAGTTTGCAAAACGCTGAAAAATAACATCACTGGCCAGGTTATTGTGTGGCCAAACCAGGCAAGAGCTCAGGTGATCATGGAAGGTTTTTGTAAGCACAAAGGACTGCCCAGCGTAAGAGGTGCTATTGATGGATCGCATATTCCTGTAAAAGCACCACAGGAGTGTCCCAAGAATTACATAAACAGAAAAAATTTTCACTCAGTCAACTTGACTGCCATCTGCGATGATGAAATGCGCTTTCTCAACTGTTATGCTGGTTGGCCCGGTAGTGTGCATGACTCAAAGAGTTTTTAAAAATTCAGATTTCTATTAAACTGTCAATGACAAATTCCAAGATGATTCCTACCTCCTGGGGGATTCTGCATACACTTTGGAGACCTGGATGATAACACCCTTTAAAGATCGTGGCAATTTAACACCTCAGCAGCCAAGATTCAATTTCATCCATTCATCTACAAGAATGGTTATTGAAAGGGCCTTTTCCTTGCTAAAGGGAAGATTTCGCAGACTGAAATACCTGGACATGTTACGAATCCAGGATATTCCAACAGTAATAATCGCTGCATGCACCTTACATAATGTATGCCTTGACAGCGGTGATCAATGGGAAGACTTTATGGGTGACATAGAAGAGGAAGTTAATGGTTTTGAAAATATC